TCTTGCCTATTTGTTCTAGCTAGAACTTCTAATATAGTGTTGAATTTGAGTGGTAAAAGCACTATCCTTTGCCTGTTCATAATCTTGGTGGGGGTGGGGGGAGGTTGCGGGGGTGGCAGGGAGATCTTTCAGTCTTTCACTATGGAGTATGTTACCTGTGGAGTTTTTCATATGTGCCCTTTATTATGTTGAGGAACTTTGCTTCTGTTCCTGTTTTCTGAGTTTTGTTATCCTCAAATGGTACTGGATTTTGTACTTTTTTCTGCATCAATTGATATGATCACGTTTATTCATTTGTTTTATTAATGTGTTGTCTTACTCTGATTAATGTTCTTATATAAAACTACTCTTGCATTGCTAGGATAGATCCAACTTAGTCATAGTATGTAATGTTTTTAATATGCTGCCAAATTTGGTTTGCTAGTATTTTATTGAGAATTTTTTACATCCGTATTCATAAGGAATATTAGTCTGTAATTTTATTTTCCTGTGAAGTCTTTATCTGGCTTTGATATCAAGGTAATGCTGGCTGGCACTGTAAACTCAGAGGAATGAGTTAGGAAGTATTCCCTTCTAATTTTGGAAATGTTCGAGGAAGATTAGTATTACTTCTTTAATTTGATAGAATTAAGCAGTGAGGTCATCTTGCCCTGGATTTTTTTTTTTCTTTAGGCAGTTTTTTAAAAAAATTGAGGGCCGGGTGTGGTGGCTCACGCCTCTAATCCCAGCACTTTGGAGGCTGAGGCGGGTGGATCATGAGGTCAAGAGATCGAGACCATCCTGGTCAACATGGTGAAACCCCGTCTCTATTAAAAATACAAAAAGTTAGCTGGGCACGGTGGTGCATGCCTGTAATCCCAGCTACTCAGGAGACTGAGGCAGGAGAATTGCCTGAACCCAGGAGGCGGAGGTTGCAGGAGGCCGAGATTGTGCCATTGCACTCCAGCCTGGGTAATAAGAGCGAAACTCTGTCTCAAAAAAAAAAAAATTACTGATTGAATCTCTTTAGTGGTTATAAGTATGTCAAAATTTTATATTTTTTCTTGAGTCAGTTTTCATAATTGTGTCCTTCTAGGTAATATGCCTATTTAATTGAGTTACCTAATTTATTAATGTACAGTTGTTCATAGTATTCTCTTATAACCCTTTTTTCTTTTTGTAATGTCACTTTAATTTCAGATTTTACTTCTTTGCATCTTTTTTTCTTTAGTCAGTCTAGATGAAAGCTTACGAATTTTGTTCTATTTAAGAAATCAGCTTTTAGATTTATTGATTCTCTATAGCTTTCTATTCTCTGATTGCTTATCTTTGCTCTAATATGTATTATATCCTTTTTTCTGCTAGCTATGGGTTTAATTTGATCCTTCTTTGCTAGCTGCTGAAGGTGTAAAGCTATTGCTTTCTTTTTAAAAATAGGCATTTATTGCTACAAATCTCTCGATAGGCATGCTCTTGGCGGCATCCCATAAGTTGTGACATAGGCTCTTTACTTTTACTTTTTCACCCATTTCTAAGTATTTTTAAATTTCCTTTGTGGTTTCTTCTTTGATCCATTAAACGTTGTTTAACATCCATGTTAATAAACTTTTTCACTGTTATTCATTTTGAGCTTTATCCTATTATGGTCAGAAAAGATATTTTTTATGATTTCAGTCTTTAAAATTTACTGAGATTTATTTTGTGCCCTAATCTATGTGCTTCCCTGTAGAATGTTTCTTGTATATTTGAGAAGAATGAATATTCTACTATTGGTAGGTAGAACATTCCACATACTTCTCTTAGGCCTATTTGGTTTATACCATTATTCAATTACTCAGTTTTCTTCTGAATCCTTTGTCTGGATATTCTGTCCATTAATGAAAGCAGAGTAATGAGGTGTACAACTATTATTACAGAACTCTGTATTTCTTCGTTTAAATCTGTCAATTCCTGAAATTAGAACAGTGACTTCTCTTTCATTAAGTAGTTGCCTTAAGGCAAACTATGTGCTCTTATAGAGGATTGATGTTTTGAGAGTTATATTTCTTGATTGGCTTTAATTTGGGTGAAACTGTCCATACGGTCTATGTATAGAACTGGTTAAAAAAAAAAGTCCCACAAGAAAAAAACAAACAATCCCATTCAAAAGTGGGCGAAGGATATGAACAGACACTTTACAAAAGAAGACATACATGAGGCCAAAAACATATGAAAAGATGCTCATCATCACTGGTCATTAGAGAAATGCAAATCAAAACTACATTGAGATACCATCTCACACCAGTTAGAATGGCGATCATTAAAAAATCTGGAGACAACAGATGCTGGAGAGGATGTGGAGAAATAGAAACACCTTTACACTGTTGGTGGGTGTGTAAGATAGTTCAACCATTGTGGAAGACAGTGTGGCGATTCCTCAAGGACCTAAAAATAGAAATTCCATTTGACCCAGCAATCCCATTACTGGGTATATAGCCAAAGGAATATAAATCACTCTACTATAAGGACACATGCACACGAATGTTCATTGCAGCACAGTTTACAATAGCAAAGACATGGAACCAACCCAAATGCCCATTGATGATAGACTGGACAGGGAAAATGTGGCACATATACACCATGGAATATTATGCAGCCATCAAAAATGATGAGTTTGTGTCCTTTGTAGGGACATGGATGAACCTGGAAACCATCATTCTCAGCAAACTGACACAAGAACAGAAAACCAAACACCGCATGTTCTCACTCAGGCGTGTGTTGAACAATGAGAACACCTGGACACAGGGAGGGGAGCAGTACACACTGGGGTCTGTTAGGGGTGAAATAAGGGAGGGACAGCAGGGAGTGGGGAGTTGGGGAGAGATAGCATGGGGAGAAATGCCAGATGTGGGTGAAGGAGAGGAAGGCAGCAAATCACAATGCCACGTGTGTACCTATGCAATAATCTTGCATGTTCTTCACATGTACCCCAAAACCTAAAATTCAATAAAAAAGAAGAAGTTTATATAATTAATGGAAAAAAAAGTCCCTCACTTTCCAGAGGTGGCTGCTTATTAGTTTCCATCTTCATGGGCTACGAGGTGTCTAAAAAATAAGGCCCACCAAGGTGCCCTGGAAGTTAGGTACTTTGTCAGTCATTGATCCTACTACCTTGCCTAACCCCTAACCCTGGTTGAAGGTTTAGAGCTGCACTGTCTCTGGCTATGGTTGGAAGCCACCATTCCTGCCCCTTCTATACTTGTATAAGTGGAAAGAACCCTGCCTCTAGTTTCTCATATCTGATACTATCTACTGATATCTTCCAGAAACTATATAATTGTGTTTTTTGATGTATATTATTTGCACATTTATTATGTTTCTTCCACTTATATTTTTGAGGCGTCAGAGGTAGATGTGTGTTTGAGGTTCACCATCTTTAAATGGAAGTGTCAGTTACTTTTGAAACCGTATTCTCTCTTATTTTCCATTACTCTGGAATGTCCCCTGGTTCCCTTTTCACATTTTTATAAATTCCTTCTCAGCCTCTATGGCCTATGTTTCTTTTTCTTGCCAGCCACTTAATATTTGTATTCCTTTAAATTCTGTGTTGGCAATTTTTTTCCTCCATCTTTGTCTCCTTTGTGAATATCTGATCACTGATGGCCCCTGTGACAAAGAGTTGCCATTTTCACCCATATCCTTATTTCCATGCTGGATCTCTCTTCTGAGCTTCACAATAATCTCTGTGGCCTTCCACTGGACATGCTCACTTCCATGACATGAAGATATTCCAAGAGCTGCATGACCTCCATGTGACTTATTGTCACTCTGCTATTCCCCCCTCCCCTAACCTCCTGGTTCTACTTTCCAGACCTTTTCTAAGGCCTCTATGCAGACACTCTGGAAGTCACCTTTCCTCTCTTCCTTTGATTAGTGAATTCTCTCTTCCACATCTCCACTGCTGCCCCTTAATATAGACAGTCTACCTCTAATGCTGCTCTGCAACACAGTCTCCACTCTACTTGGGTGTCATTACTTCCTTGGTGAAAATGGAATTATGTTACAGGGATTCAGGTGTGTATTTCAGTTCACCATCAAATTCTGCTATTCACATCAATGATCTGGTGTTGGGGGAGCAGGGAGCCTATGGCCTAAGGGAAGTTTGCAAGATAATTGGGTGTATGTCATATACCACCAGTTCTTTAGGGAATGGGAGGAAAGTATCAGCATGCCTATTTATATTTTTATCTAAGAAATAAGAACCAAATTAAGCTGTCCTTATATGTGGGTTGACTGTATTTTATTTACTTTATAAATAAATATAAATAAAACTAGTAGTTGCTAAAAATTTTTTACAGATTAGAGGAGTGATAAATAATTGGAGAACACTAAAAGTATTAAAGCAAAGAATATTTCCTACTCTCCCTTATCTCCCATGCCTCTGCAACCTTTACCTCATCACAGGTCAGACATGCCCTCTTATCCTGTTAAGCAATTCCACTGACTTGCCACATATTTTTTTCAGGTTTTTAACATTTCCTTAAGTTTTTGTTATATGTTTGCAAAGGAACTAAAGTTTTATCACTTTAGTGAAATCTAATACATTGACACACTCTCACCTGAATTTGCACAGAACCTTTTTATGATCCATCTGTGTCGCACTTTTCTGTGGTATGCATCTTTTAAGTCCTGTGGTGGGTATGTCTCTGTATGTATGTTTCTTCATGAGAAGACATATTCTTCTCTTGTAAGGAAGAGTCTTGTATTCAAATTGAAATACTCAGAAACTAAAATACCTGTAGGCACATGTGGGCACTAAATATTTTTCCATTAAGTAATAAATAAATGCACCAACAGGATATTTCTACTATGATTTTTTACCCACAATGTATAACATAAAACAACATGTGTCATGAAGGCCCTTTATAACATTTTCTGTTTAATTTTCAACAATAAAAATGGTAAGAATTAGTCCCTAAACATCTTTCTTCACATCACCTGATTCTGATCACTTGACACTGAGCAGAACTGTGATTTTCCAGGGACCAGTGTCATTTAGGGATGTGACTGTAGGCTTTAGTCAAGAGGAGTGGCAGCATCTGGACCCTGCTCAGAGGACCCTGTACAGGGATGTGATGATGGAGAACTACAGCCACCTTGTCTCAGTAGGTAGGTAGGAATTGTTTCCCATATAGAAAGCCTGAATGCATGTCCTTTCTTATCAATAGAAACTTGTGGAACTTTTGTAGAATATAAAAATATTTAAGTTTGAGATTCAGAGGTCAAGGACAATTTATCCCTTTTGGATACCAGAAAGAAGGGTTTTTCCTCTGCTCGCATGACAGGATTAAATGAGCTATGTATGTGTGTATGTACTGTTTGGGGTATGCTGTCTTCCTCCTTCAGGGAAACCCACCCAATTTGTCCAAGTAATATAATTCTCATTCACAGGGTATTGCATCCCTAAACCAGAAGTAATCCTCAAGTTGGAGAAAGGCGAGGAGCCATGGATATTAGAGGAAAATTTTCCAAGCCAGAGTCATCTGGGTGAGTTAGTATGTGCCAGATGGAATTTAAAGGAAGGTAGATCACAAAGGGTAAGTTCAGATAATGAGACCATTGAAATGTTCCTCTGGAATCATGTTTTAGAGGCTCTAGACCTTTACAAGTAACATGTTGACCAGACTCAAATATCCAGTGGTTTTGAATCACACAGCATCTCCCTGTATCACTTCTGTACACACATCCTGTATTTTTTTAATTGTGGTAAAAATTATATAGCGTTAAGCCACAGCTTAATAAAATTTTATACACACACACACACACACACACACGCACGCATCCATCACTGAGATGAATATATATGAATATATGTATCATTGAGAGTGATTTTTCAATACCCCTACGAAAACTCCCTGGTGTCCTCTTCCTGGTAAAGAACATCCCTCCATCTACAAAATATTAAATATATTTTTCTATACATGCTTTTTTAGTTGCTCATTTGTTAGCATTTATCATATTTACCATTTTTTTACAGCATTATTTTAAAATAGTCTGGGCCAAGTGGCTCATTTCTATAATCCCAGCACTTTGGGAGGCTGAGGTGAGGATCACTTGAGCTCAGAAATTTGAGACCAGCTTGGGCAACATAGGGAGACCCCATCTCTATGAAAACTTAAAAAATTGGCATGGTGGTACACACCTTTCGTCTCATGCCTGGCTAATTTTTGTGGTCTCAGCTACTGTGGAGCTGATGTTAGAGTCTAGCTTTTGCCTAGGAAGAGGCTGTAGTGAGCTGTGATTGCACTGCAGCCTGGGTGACAGAGCAATATTCTGTCTCTAAAAAATAAAAAGCTCTCTGGGTAACACTGATAAACATTATTTATTAAATACCATTGGTTTAAATATCTGTGTAGAACACTGAGAGAAAACCATAAATAAAATGATGTCTTCCAGAAACATAGTTGGTGAACAAAAACAGAAGTGCATGAAATATTTTAAAATTCAGTGTTTAAAAAAGAATATTGTTATAGCAATCAGCTGATGTTTGTGCCTAAATGAATTACACAAAAAGCCCTTTCGTGTTTTTTAGTGGATGAAGCTGGAATTGGTGCATAAATTTGGGAAGACAACTTTTAAAAACATTGTTAGACTGTAAGCTGACAATGAGAAAACCATCAGTATGAGATTATGATGGGAATGAGTAATTTATGAGGAATAAACAGCTCATATATATTTATCTAGAGTGAAATATATTCATTCTAGACTTGTTAAAGAATGGCTTGGTTCTAGTCTGAATCTAAATGTAAAGATATGTTTACTTCAGTGATACCTTGTTTAAAAAAAAAGTGTTTTGGGGACATTGGACTCAGTACTATATATATAGTTGATGGAATAAAGGGCAAATTCCATAGCCAGAATAGAACCATAAACCTGATCCTATGGCAAGTATGGCTTGTTCACTCATTGATTTTACTGTTATTCGAAGTGAATCAGAGCTAGAAAAACAATTAGGCCAGGTGCAGTGGTTGATGCCTATAATCCCAGCACTTTAGAAGGCCAATGTGGGTGAACTGCTTGAGGGCAGGAATTCAAGACCAACCTGGCCAACATGGCAAAATCCTGTCTCTACTAAAAATATAAAAACTAGCCAAGCATGGTGGTGCATGCCTGTAGTCCCAGCTACTTGAGTGGTTGAGGCATGAGAATAGTTTTAACCCAGAGAGTGGACATTGCAGTAAGCCAAGACTGTGCCACTACAATCCAGCCTGGATGACAGAGCAAGACTCTGTCTCAAAACAAACAACAACAAAAGAACCACACAGTATTGGAGCCTGGATTATAGGACTATTTATGAATCAGAACTTTCAGAAATTTGATTGTTGCTGCTGTGTTGAATTGAAAAGAGGTATAAAACTGGAAGTGTGCACACTGTTGTCATAATGTAGATATGAAGAGATAATGACTGAAACTGAGCCATGCCTTCAAACCTAATGTTAACTTTATTTCTTTTATATGTCCTTGTCAACTAATCTTTCTTATCACTCTATATTTCAGAATTAATTAATGCCAGTAGAAACTATTCAAGAATGAAGGTCGATGAGTTTAACAAAGGTGGAAAATGTTTCTGTGATGAAAAGCGTAAAATTGTTCATTCTGTAGAGGAACCTTATGAATATAATAAAAATGGGAATGGCTTCTGGCTTAATGAAGACCTCGTTTGGCATCAGAAAATTAAAAATTGGGAGCAACCTTTTGAATACGATAAATGTGGGAAAGCTTTCCCTGAGAATTCACTCTTCCTTGTACATAGGAGAGCTTACACAGGACAGAAAACCTGCAAATATATTAAACATGGGAAAACCTGTGATATGTCATTTTTCATTACTCATCAGCAAACACATCCAAGAGAGAACCACAATGAATGTGGAGAAAATATCTGTGAGGAATCCATTCTCCTTGAACATCAGAGTGTTTACCCATTCAGTCAGAAGTTAAACCTCACTCCAATTCAGAGAACCCATTCAACTGACAATATTATTGAATATAATGAATGTGGAACTTTTTTCAGTGAAAAATTAGTCCTTCATGTACAACAGAGAACACATACAGGAGAAAAACCTTATGAATGTCATGAATGTGGAAAAACCTTCACTCAGAAGTCAGCCCACACAAGACATCAGAGAACACACACAGGAGGAAAATCCTATGAATGTCATGAATGTGGGAAAAACTTCTATAAGAATTCAGACCTCATTAAACACCAAAGAATTCACACAGGGGAGAAACCGTATGGATGTCATATGTGTGGGAAATCCTTCAGTGAAAAGTCAACCCTTACTCAACATCAGAGAACACACACAGGGGAGAAACCATATGAATGTCATGAATGTGGGAAAACCTTCTCATTTAAGTCAGTCCTTACTGTGCATCAGAAAACACACACAGGGGAGAAGCCCTATGAATGCTATGAATGTGGGAAAGCCTTTCTCAGAAAATCAGACCTCATTAAACATCAAAGAACTCACACAGGAGAAAAACCTTATGAATGCAATGAGTGTGGGAAATCATTCTCTGAGAAGTCAACTCTTACTAAACATCTAAGAACTCACACAGGTGAGAAACCTTATGAATGTGTTCAGTGTGGAAAATTTTTCTGCTACTACTCTGGTTTCACAGAACATCTTAGAAGACACACAGGGGAGAAACCTTTTGGATGTAATGAATGTGGGAAAACCTTTCGTCAGAAGTCAGCCCTAATTGTTCACCAGAGAACTCATAGAAGACAGAAACCCTATGGATGTAATGAATGTGGAAAATCATTCTGTGTGAAGTCAAAACTCATTGCACATCTTAGAACACACACAGGGGAGAAACCCTATGAATGTAATGTTTGTGGAAAATCATTCTATATTAAGTCAAAACTCACTGTACATCAGAGAACACACTTGGGGAGAAACCCTATAAATGTAGTTAAGTGAGGGAAGTTACTCTGGGTGAAGTCAGAACTTTGTAGAAAAGAGAACATAAAGGGTGAGAGAATTCTGTTAATATAATGCTAATGAAAACGCCTTTGCTCTGAAGTCAGTTCTCACAGTATAGAAGAGAACTTAAAGAGGGGAAAAAACAATATGAAGATATGGAATGTAGGAACACATTCCTTTGGAATTTGGACCATACATTATGTTGCAAAACTAAAAGTGGAAAAACTTATTGGGAAATGAATATAGGAAATATTTTGCCCAATGCCGCATCTCACTAAATATTAGAGAGTTCACACAGGGTAGAAACTTGCGTCAGCATCCCTAGATTAAGAAGGGATGCGTTTTCAGAATAATGCATCTGAGAAGACACACAGGGAGAAACCTTTTGGGTGTAATGAATGTGGGAAAACCTTTTGTGACAAGTTAGCCCTAACTTTCACCAGAGAACTCATATAAGACAGAAACCCTCTGGATGTGGTGAATATGGAAAATCATTCTGTGTAAAGTCAAGAGGCCAGAGAAAATGCACAAACTATAGGAAACTGTAGGAAAGCATTTACTATAAGGTTATATTTTATGGAGAATGTGTAATTTGTAGTAGGTTCTCAGTAAACATCAGATAGTAGGGAAGGTATTTTTATCTTTAAGTTAAAATCTAAATTTAATATAGACCAGAGATGTTGAATTTGCAGGATATCTAGCAATTTAACAAAATGTGGAAAAAAGGTTTTTATTGAGGAATAGCATTTTACTTTGTAAAAATCCAATTTAGTTATTGTCAAGACTGCTATTTTCTGAGATAGAGATTTGAAAACATGCCACTCTGGAGTCAATGGCTCTAAGTAGTTACTGCTTAGTTATATGCAAAATCAGGGAAGATTTTTAGCAAGGGGACCCAGCATCAGGAGTACACTTGTATGTCCAGGTAAAAAGAGAGAGACCCTCAACCTGGGGACATAGGACAGGAGCCTCCTGGCAGGATTTTTCAATAATCCTGAGACAGACTAATTTCGGGTGACCCATCTCAGAATGGTGGATCAAAGGGGCAAGTCAATTTGCCATATATGCAACTTACGAGGATAGAGTGGGTCCAGATTTTTGGTGGTTTCTGCCCTAACATATGTCTAACACATAAGCCAGGACATTCTGCTGTGAGTGACTTCTTATACCCAACTCTATTTCTCTTCATACTGCAACACGTCTTTCATAGGTGATACAGGTATTTTTAAAATATATATAGATATAACTTAAATATGGAGCTTTCAAAAAGCACAAATAGGCTGGGCATGGTAGCTCACGCCTGTAATCCCAGTACTTTGGGAGGCTGAGGTGTGCAAATCACCTGAGGTCAGGAATTTGTGACCAGCCTGGCCAGCATGGTGACACCCTGTCCCTACTAAAAATACAAAAATTAGCCAGGTATGGTGGCACATGCCACAGTCCCAGCTACTAGAGAGGCTGAGGAGGGATGATCACTTGAACCTTGGAGCTAAAGGTTGCAGCAAGCTGAGATCTTGCTACTGCACTCACTCCAGCCTGAGCAATAGAGACTGTTTCAAAACAAAACAAAAAGCAAAAATAGATTTTGCTATTGGGTAAGGTATAGTTGCTGGCAGAAGAATGGACCCATTGAGAACAGCTCTATAGAAGCAAAGAGGACTAAAGTGGCAAAATTCTAGAGTGGTAAATCCCAGAAAGCACATGCACAGAATGCAGCTGTTTGCTCTAAGGGTCCTTTCTACTTCTGGCTATAGGGAAGAACCTGAATACCGAACTTGGTTCAGGAAGAGGGCCATAATCTAGGGGTTATGGGGGGGACCAGAAACCAGGAGAACAATCAAGACTGAATTGAAAAAAAAATTTATATATTAGGGGCTTCAAACACATACTTTTTCTCAAGAAATTTTTAGATGTCTCACACTGCATAGGGCAGGAACCTAAAAACCTATTTGAGAAGAAAACAAGTATGATTTTTGTTTTGTTTTGCATTTTGCAGTACAAAGGAGAAATGATTAGAATTTAGGAAGTGCTAGCAAGCTGGTCCTTTGGTGAATATGCCATCAATAAAAGCCCTGGAAACAAGGTCAAACCAGAGGCTGATTGTGCCTTGTCACAAATGCAAACAATACCTGAGTGAATATTAAAAAACTTGCTTAGAAAGGCCGGGTGCGGTGGCTCAAGCCTGTAATCCCAGCACTTTGGGAGGCCGAGGCGGGTGGATCACGAGGTCAAGAGATCGAGACCATCCTGGTCAATATGGTGAAACCCCGTCTCTACTAAAAATATAAAAATTAGCTGGGCATGGTGGCGTGTGCCTGTAATCCTAGCTACTCAGGAGGCTGAGGCAGGAGAACTGCCTGAACCCAGGAGGCAGAGGTTGCGGTGAGCCAAGATCACGCCATTGCACTCCAGCCTGGGTAACAAGAGCGAAATTCCATCTTAAACAAACAACAACAACAACAACAACAAAAAAACAAAACTTGCTTAGAAAGAAACACTCTAGGAACAAATGGCTTCACTGCAGTTATTCCAAATATTTAAGAAATAAAGAATACCAAGCTTTTATAAACTTTTTTTGGAAGAAAAAAGATGGAACTTTTCCAATTCAGTTTTTAAGGCCAGTACAACCTTGGTACCAAATCTTAAAAAAAAAAAAAAAAAAATATTATATATATATATATATATATACCAAAGTCTGATTGATTTAGATGCAAAATCCTAAAATTAAAAAAAAAAAACCTAGCCATATTCATAAAGTATATCATCACCAAGAGATGGCTATTAGGGCAATCAAAAGATGGTTTATTATTTAACCATTATTTAAGAAAACAATGTCGCCTTCCATTCTTTCTTTTCATTCCCGCTTTTGACTTTTCATGTGTCTGTCTTGCCTGCCTTCCCCACAGTGGAGGAGTTACACCTGCCTTAGGGGATGAGAGGAGTTGTGGTCATGTGCCTGCTGGCACCAAGACTGCTAAGGGTGAGGTGTGGAAGGGACAGATGGAGGAGACTGTTGAGAAATTGGTACCATTGAGCAAATAAATATGTTGAGGATGATGAGAGCAAGGTTTCTCTCTGTTAGAGAAGGTACTTATAAAAATAGAAATGAGGAGAGCTAGAAAACCTTGGAGTGTGGGACTGGAATAGAACTCACATCTTTTAAATATATAGGAACAAATAGAGAAATTATGTTTGCATACATGCATATATTTTGTGATTTTACTGAGAGGACCTAACTGCAGTGATACCTCAGTAACAATAAGCACATCAGCTGTCAAGTTATTAGTTCCTAAATATTATCCACAAAAAGGGGACCAGGGCTGATTCCTAGTCAGAGATTGAGAGAAATACAAGATGGACCTCAATTGCTTCATATATCTAACAGTAAGAAAATACTCTGGCTGGGCTTGTTGGCTCATGCATGTAATTCTAGCACATTAGAAGGTTGAGGTACGGGTTGCTTGAGCTCAGGAGTTTGAGACCAGCCTGGGCAACGTGGCAAACCTGTCTCTATAAAAAATACAAAAATTAGCCAGGTATAGTGGCATGCACCTGTAGTCCCAGGTACTCAGAAGGTGGAGAGGTGGGAGGATCACTTGAGCCTGGGAGACTGAGTCTGCATTGAGCTGTGATGGTGCCACTGTACTGGATCCAGCCTGGGTGACAGACTGAGAACCTGTCATGGGGGGTGGGGGGGAGACATCATTCAGCAGGCTAATGCATAAACTGTGGAGCATCTAGAAAACTTTAACATTCTTCAAAGAAATAGAAAATACAATCCTAATTGGAACCACAAAAGACCTAGGAATAGTCAGAGCTATCCTGAGCAAAAGGAATGAAACTGGAGGAATCATATTACCTGACTTTAAATTATTCTACAGAGCTGTAGTAACCAAAACAGCAAGTTACTAGCATAAAAACAAACACATAGGAACAGAATAGAAAACCTAGAAACAAATTCATATATCTATGGTAAACTCACTTTTGACAAAGGTGCCAAGAACATTCATTGGGGAAAAAATAGCATCTTTAACAAATGGTGCTGAGAAAACTGGATATCCATATACAGAAGAATGAAACAAGTTCAATCTAAGACCTCAAATTATGAAACTGCTAAAAGAAAACACTGGAGAAACTCTCCAGGGCATTGGAGTGGGCAAAGATTTCTTGTGTAATACCTAACAAACAGGCAGCCAAAGCATAAGTGGACAAATAGGATCGAATCAAGTTAAAAAGCTGCGCTGCAAAGGAAACAACAAAATGAAGAGACAACCCATAGAATGGGAGACAGTATTTGCAAAGTATCCATCTGTATTAGGCCATTCTTGCAGTACTATAAAGAAATAGCTGAGATGGTAATTTATAAAGAAGAAGATTAATTGGTTCATGGTTTTGCAGGCTGTACAGAAAGCATGGTGCTAACATCTGATCAGCTTGTAGGAAAGCCTCAGGAAGCTTCCAACCATGGTGGAAGGCAAAAGCGGACTGAATATCTCAGATGGTGGGAGCAAGGGCAGAGAGAGAGAGGGGGAGGGAAGTGCCACATACTTAAATAACTAGATTTTGTGAGTACTCAGATCTTGTGAAGGGTGCTTGAGGTCATGGACACCCCATTTACCCTGATGTGATTATTATACATTTCTTGCCTGTATCAAAATATCTCATGTACTCTATGAATATATACACCTACTTTATACCCACAAAATTTAAAAATAAAGTTAATTTCAGTGTTTAAAGACTCACTATTAAATAATAGCAGTTTTCTTCCAATGTGTCTATACATTTAATATTTCAAGAAAACTCCCAATATTTATTCTTAACACTGGAAAAAGTTTTCCAAAACATGTATGGCAGAAATATGGGCCTTGATGTGAGAACAGCATCAATTCATGAGGGATCCTCTCCCTCGACCAAAATACCTCCCACCAAGCCCCACCTTTAACGTTGAGGATTATATCTCAAGATGAGATTTGGGCAGACAAATATCCAAGCAATATCACCATCTGTTAAGGTGTTCACAACCAGAATATATAAGGAGCTCTAACAGTTCTATAGGAAAAAATATATAATAATCTGATTTAAAACTGGGCAAAAATCTGAATAGACATTTCTCAAAAGAAGGCATACAAATGGCAAACAGGCATATGAAAAGGTACTCAACATCATTGATCTATCAGAGAAATGCAAATCAAAACTACAGTGAGATATAATCTCACCCCAGTAAAAATGTCTTCTGTCCAAAAGACAGGTAATAACAAAAGCTCAAGAGGATGTGGAGAAAAGGGAACCTTCATGTACTGTGGAAATGTATATTAGTATAACTACTATAAAGAACAGTTTTGAGGTACCTCACAAACTAAAAATAGAGCTACCATACAATCCAGCAATTCCACTGCTAGGTATATACCCCAAAGGAAGGAAATCAGTATACTGAAGATATATGTGCACCCCCATGTTTACTGCAGCACTACTCACAATAGCCATGATTTGGAAGCAACCTAAGTATCCATCAGCCCATCAGCAGATGAATAGATAAAGAAAATATGGTACATATACACAATGGAGTACTATTCAGCCATAAAAAAGAATGGGATCCTGTCATTTGGAACAATATAGTTGGATCTAGAGATCATTAAGTGAAATAAGCCAGGCACAGCGACATCACATGTTCTGACTTATTTGTTGGAGTCAAAACAACTCAACCTATGAAGATAGTAGAAGGATGGTTACCAGAGACTGGGAAAGGTAGTGGGGGCATGGTGAGGGGGAAGTGGGGAAAGTTAATGGGTACAAAAAGTAGAATGACTAAGACCTAGTATTTGATAGCACAACAGGGTTACTATAATTGTCAATAACAATTGTACATTTTAAAATTATAATTGGATTGCTTGTAACACAAAGGATAAATGCTTGAGGTTATGGATACCCTGTTTACCCTGATATGATTATTACACATTGCATTCCTGTGTCAAAATATATTATGTACCCATATATACACCTAGTATGTACTTACAAAAATTAAAAATAAAGTAAAATTAATTTCAGTGATTAGAAACACCATTATCAGTTTTCTTCAAATGTTTTTATGAAGTTAATACAATTTCAATAAAACTCCCAATATTTATTCTTTTTTTTCTTTTTTTGGAGACAGAGTCTCACCCTGTCTGTCACCCAGGCTGGAGTGCAGTGGCATGATCTTGGCTCACTGCAACCTCTGCCTCCTAGATTAAAGCGATTCTCCTACTTCGGCTTCCTAAGTAGCTGGGACTACACATACCACCACATCCAGCTAATTTTTTTGTATTTTTAGTAAAGACAGGGTTTCACCATGTTAGCCAGGATGGTCTCGGTCTCCTGACCTCATGATCTGCCCGCTTTGACCTCCCAAAGTGCTGGGATTACAGGTGTGAGCCGTGCCGGGCCCCAGTATTTATTCTTAGTACTAACAAACTCCTCTTCTTTCTCTCATTCCTGATTTCCCACAGGTGGTTACAATGAGATGCTAGACTGCTCATCTGACCACCTGCTGCCTGTTGATCATCTTCCTTACTCCCCTTAAATCCTGTCTGTATAATCTCCTAACTTTCGTTGCGAGAGGGATAGATTTGATGGTTAGGCTGACAGCATCCACAACGAAGCCCTTCTTCCCTGACAATATTCGTCGTAGTGACTGGCTTTCTGTGTGGTGAGCAACCACACCTAGGCCAAACCTCTGGTGTTCAGCAACAATTCCTTTGCTCTACTTGATCAATGAGCTAATATCTTTGCCTTATAAAAACTTGTTTCACAGCCACTCAGGTCAGGGGATACTCAGTGAGGAAGAAACCATTAACAACTATGTTATCCATTTCTGCTTAGGGCTGCTATGATCGGGCAGTTCACTGTGAAAAGCCACCACAGCAACATGCAACAGCTCTCTCATCACAGTTTTCCTTCTCCATCAAGCAAAAATCTTAGCACACCTGTGAAGGCAACTATAGCCATAACTGCAGCCCATGCTGAAGCTTTTTGCTAATAACCAATGATCTACAAAGGAGGTGGAGTTGGCCCATTCCTCTGTGCATTGTATCTAAGCCATATAATTTGGGCCCTAGAAAAGAGTTCTCTACCTGACCATGAGCTCTCTACCTGCCAGACAGTCAAGTGGGGATTTCAGACCTTGGACCTGAAGGGACTTTCGGTATTCTCTAATAAAGATGCACACTATGTCTATATCTTTTTGTATTTTGAAGTGCAAAAAAGTAAACGTTTTTGCTGAAATATTCCAATTACCAAATAATTTTACATGATGGTATTGAATTGACCCCCAAATTGATCTAAGCTGAGGAACTGGGCAAGACTGATATGTTCACCTTTTGCTATGTTCATGGAATGGGAGCTATACCCAGTGGGATTTGTAGTTGTAGGGGTTTTATTGGCTTTTTTTGGACTAGTTTCAGGCGTTCAAGCCCTATAATTGTTTCAAAATCAATAACGTCCAGATTGAGACCCTCAGAATGTCTGCTGTTTTCATCTTTTCAATTATGCCAACCTCTTTCTTCACTGATAAAAACACCCAAATTGTATTTCTCTCTTTAATAATAATATATGAGTGTTAGAAATGAAAAATGGAAAACAAAGGGTGTATATAATGTGTGTGATACTTGGTTTTAAGTGAAACCAGAAATGTTCCAACTAACGATGTGCCTTCCTAATGTTACATAGCTCATTCAGGTGGTGCATCTTTCTAAGTGCACTGGTGGTATATGATGGGGAGTTGTAAGGGGCCAGCTTGTTAGTAGAATACCTGAGTTAGAGGCTCTCCCACTTCTTCCTACATCTTTCTCTGGTTCTCCAGCTCATTTCAGGACCCCTTTCCTTAGCCTCTCTAACACACCCAAGTCTGCATCTACTCTCAGGAGGATGCCATTGACACAGAGGTAAATACAGCCCAATTCATGGCTTCAACAGAATTTGGGCCAAAGTAAATATTTACAGAGGTGTAATAAGCTCAATATAACGCATGCCATAAAAGAGGTGTGGCTGTAGTGCCAAGGAAGCAGAAGGAAAGAACTGCATTTTCAGGTAGAAAAAGAACAAGAAAGTTACCTGAAAGAAAAGACAATTAAAGCAGATTTTGATACTTGGGTATAATTCTAGTGAACAGAGAAACACATGGACAGTTGAAACTGAGAGAAGTTGCTTACCTAATGGTTAGGGGATGTTTGGGGCTAATGTGAATCATGCAGTTTTGGTAATAAGTGCGGAAAAATGTAAGATCAATGTGCAGTCTAGAAATTTGTGGTTGAAAACAAACTACTGAAGAACAGGGAAAGATATCCACACTGAAGTATGGGATGTAATTGTGTTTTAGGAATTCATCAGAAGATTTTAATATGCATTGAGCAATAAGAGTCTAGGGGAGAGGAGGCCTGGTAGGAGATGTCAGCAGAGAAAGGGATTAATAGGAGGGAAGATGCAGAGACAGAGGGCCTAATAGGCTTAACTAATTAATTAATTCCTATTGGACCCTGGGGTTGTGGTGTTGAGCAAAAATAACATTACAATCAATGCAGTGGGAGGAATTAAGTAATTGCACACATCTGAGCATAATCACAGCAGAGATGCATACTCAATAGAAGCAATCTCAATCTAGGAAGATTTGAGCACTCAGTCCTAGTACTCACTAGGAGTGATTGAGAATATTATACTTTCTGTCCCAAATGATTCCTTGTTAAGAAATTTGGGCTTTGTCTTTTAGATAATGAGACACCACTGAAAATTTTGCATCAGGAACTAAAATTTTAAAAGTCATTTTCCCCCCATATTTCTTCTGATCATGTGGTCTTCTTTCTAAAGATGTACATTACATGATGTATACGATGATATTTGAAAGCTAAGTCAGAGACTAAGCGCATGTTTATTATATATATAAATTGTGTGTTGCAGGGTTTGGTGTACAGACCCCTACCTTCCACACTTAAGTAGGCCCTGGTATCTGTTGTTCCCTTCTTTGTGTCCATGTGTACTCAATGTTTAGCTTTCACTGATGAGTGAGAACATGAGGCATTTGGTTTTCTGTTTCTGTATTAAAAAACTGTAACTTGGCTACTGTGCCTATGGAGTAGCCAGTCTTTATTCCTTTACTTTCTCGATAAACTTGCTTTCACTTAAAAAGAAAAAACTATAACTTTAAAACATGTTTGTATGCATCTCGTAAAACTGTCATTAGAGAGTTCACCTATTAGGAGGTTTATAATTTTCTACTATATTTAGGTACAATTTAAGTACTTGCCTACAAATGTATTGCCCAAAACCCCTTATCCCAACTAACATATGTTTGTTTTGGGTTTTGTTTCTAAAAAATCGATATTCTTACTTGTTCCATCCTGATTTCATAATTTGGGGTGATTTACTTTAGTAAAATACACATAAATGATATCATTTAATCTATTTGTAAGTGTACAATTCAATGGCATCAAATACATTCACAATGCTATATAACCATCAATACTATCTGTACCTAAAACTATTTCACTTTCCCAAAAAAACTTGATCTACTCAACCACAATTTTTCCTTCTCTCCTCTCAGTCCCTGGTCACTTTTTTTTTTTTTTTTTTTGGAGACAGTCTCCCTCTGTCACCAGCCTGGAGTGCAGTGGTGTGATCTCAGCTCACTGCAACCTCCACCTCCCAGGTTCAAACGATTCTCCTGCCCCCGCCCCCCCCCAGTAGCTGGGACTACAGGCACGTGCCA